CCATCTCGGGATTCGCAGTGGGGGCAGGGAGAGGAGAGGAGCTAATCAATTCAGAAAATCATTTGGGTGGCAACTTCATGTGACAGGCTATTTTCTTCCGTTCCACTTAGATATCCAACTGGCTGAGAAAAGCTCTGGGGAACAAGGGAACAAGAGCCTCTCCTCTGTAACCACAACTGGATCTTTCATCAGCTGGGCTTAGGGAATAACCACTAACTGGAGGGAGGAAAAGGTTTGAGGGGGCTGGCTCCTGCTATTCCCTCTTTCACTTCTGATTAACGCCTGCCTAGCACTAGGGACCACTTTCTCCATGTTGAGATGTGTTTATTGAGGATGTGTCAGCCTTGCGGGGCAGACCAGACAGGAAACACGACCAGATGAGCTAATTTTACTTTACTGTAAAGCTGCATTGACAGAATCCTGCAAGTCTGGAAGTGCATTTCTCTTCCCCACCCCATCTCCTTTACAGCCCGAGAAACTAGGGAGAGTTTCTTCTGAGCCTCTTGCCCTGCCCTCTATCCAGCTGTGGGCTATGCTGTCTCTTATCTGATTGTTCCCTAGGCAGCGACTCTTTGCCCAGTCTCCCAGGGTCATTCCCACATACCATTAAAGGATGACTCTAATGGCAGAATCACTAGGCTGCTATGGTTAGCCTCACTGCATTCTTTCTCCAGAAAGCTCGAGGTAGGAAGGTTATTCTCCTTCTTTACCCTTGCCGTGGGTCTGTGTAATAGACTGGGGTAGGCAATTGCAATGGGCCGAAGTTCCCCAGGTCACCTCTTGGCTGAGAAGAAACCTTGACACCAGTTTTCCCTGGTCTAGAGAACAACCCTCAGTCTGCCTGTTGATCGGTCACAAGTAACACCTATATGCCACTTTTCTCAAAAAAAATTAAAGGCAGCGTACCAGAGCCCAGCTTAAAGTAATTTACTTCTTCTGATGTGGTCCAGAGGCCTTTGGATCCAACCCACAGGAAAACCTGCCCCTCATACCAAATTAGAAATGGGATCTTTTCGATAAGTATGGTTGTGGTGGTGGTGGTGGGTATTTGTATGAGTTCTTCTAGGTGGCCATTAGGCACAAAAACAGGTCACATTAATGTGAATTTAGATTTTTTTTTCCTCCTGGGCCTAAATGCTGCATCAAGGATGGATTTTAGCCCTCTTGTCTTGTACCATTCCCCCCCCTCCCCCCGCCCACCACCATGATCCCTGCAGGCCAATTTGCCTGACTCTGCTGT